TGCCAACCTCCGCCGGGTGGGGAGGTCCCCGGGGGTGTGGGATGCGGTAGCTGGGTGGCAGCGTGGGTGGACCCCTGTGCCACTGCTGCAGAGACCCGAAGGTACCCGGCTGTGCCTGGAGCTTCTCAGGTGTAGTCTGGAGCGATCTCCTCTCCTTCCGCGCTCAGCTACATCTCCCCAGCAAAGCCTCCACTGACACACGCTCCTCCCAGGGAGGGCAATGCGAGCATCTGCTCCCAGCACCCAGGGGAGGCCCCTGGCTTTCGCCCCCCAACATCATCCAGACAGCACAGCAAGCATCCACCATCACTGACAGCAGAAAATTAGGCTGTTTTGGCTAGCATCAGTGACTAAAAAGCCCTGACTCTGGCTCCCATTCAGCCTCTCCATCATCCTCCCACTTCCCCTTGGCCTCAGTTGACCCAATACCTACAGGTGGATTTTGTGGAAGAGTTTAGCAATCCCATGATGAGTCCAGTCTTTTCCCAGATGCGGCAAGATGTGCCCAAGAGCATCAGACCTATAAGGAAAGGAGACCATGTTAGGCTGGTCCAACCTGGTGGGTACTCACCCCCACCATGATGGGGTTTGTGGTCCCTCCTGGCTGCTTACACAAAGGGACAGTTTCCCATAATAGAGGGGAGCAGGGATGTGGGGTGGGAGAAAGGCACTTTACTTGGTGATGGTGCCATCGATGTCAGAGATCACCACTTTGTCATCCCAGTTCCACAGGTAGATGGTGGCCTCACAGCGGCATGTGCCCTGGTACTGAGTTGTCACACTGAATGCCACCTCGTTGGGGCCATCCTGCAGATTCAGCCTTCCCTGTGGTAGAGAGGGAACAGAAGAGGCACGCCAGCACCGATTCACACCAGTCTGAGGCTGTGGGGCCAGACCAGAGACCCCACAGGGTGGCCACCCAGGGCCAAATACTTGGTTGCCCCACAAAAGCATGAGGTCAGGAGTAGAGAAATCCTCTGTTTAAGGGTTGTCTCGACCCTACACACACAAGCAGGCAGCGAAGGAGGAGGAGTAAAGTACATACGATTTGTTCAGAGGAGAGCCGCAGGGATTTCTTGTAGGTTGGCAGAGATTTCTGTGCAGGGGCATCCATGGTTAACGTGTCCCTGGGGGGCAGGGCTCCATCATCACTGGATGACGCCTCTTCCTCCTGCCTATACAAAGGAAGAGCATGTTGGCTTCACTGAGCAGACCATGGCTTTCCCCATGAGCACCTGGGCAGATCTGGAGGGGACCAGAACAACCCACCCACCAGGAAGAATCCATAGAGGAGCTCGGCTGGACTGGGGTCAGCCAGAGACTTAACAGAGCTTTCTGCCCTCATATGTTGGGCAGAATTGGGAATAATAGATCATCTAAGAGGAGAAGAGACGAGGAGCATGCAGAGACTCCTAAAGGCACTGGGAGGGAGGCACTCACCTCTGCTGAGCAGAGTCAGGCTGCAGCGTCCCCATGTTGGCTTTCCCTGGCTTCAACTGCTGCTGCAGGCAGAGAGTGGTGTCATCAGCACCTCAGTGCCCAGGGCAGGAGCAGGGGCTCCTTTGCCTTACTGCAACTTAGAGCAGCAATACCAGAAAAGAGGTGGCAATGCATCCCCCCATTTCATGAGGACACTGCCCCATGGAAGAACCACCACAGCCTGGTGCTGTGGTGGGACAGGGACACCAGCAAGCACACACGGTGCCTGGGCTGTGGCATAAGGGGCACATAGCAAGAGGTCTCACTATTACAAGGTCCACATTACTGCATTACCAGGCATTGTTCTGCTGCTCAGGCACTAACAGACCCAAAGGGACAGCAGCAACCTTCAGAAGTCACCTCACCAACAGGTCCCTCTGGCCCTCGTACTCAGCCTCAGGTCATCCCCAGGAACCTGCTGCTCTCCTACCCCCACCCCTGCCAGCCACCAGAATGACACCTGTCCCCTGGGGACAGAGTTGTCACAGCCACTGCTGCAAACACACCTCCTCTGCTGGGAATTCTCTCCTCCTCCAGGAGAACCACCACCTGCTGCCTTTCTTGGGCATCTTCTCCTTCACCAGTTGGTCAATGGTGCTCTGTGAACATGGCAGAACATGGGACAAAATCATTCCTCAGCCCAGGGAGGCTCAGCTGCCAACAGGCTAAGAAGATCCTTGTCCAGGCAGGGTTTCCTTTGCAAAGTTATTCACAGAATAAGATGCTTGACTCCTGCCATGCTCTGAGCTGAGATGGTTTTGGGATGAAGGGTACAATGACTTGCTCCCTTCGTGCAACTTGAAGATCTGGATGCTTTATTCCATACAATCCCATCCAGGTCTACAGAGCCCTGGCGCAGGCTCAGGCAGTCCCAAATCCTCCAGATTGCCAGGGCCCCTGGCTCTGGCCAGCCTTGCACAGGTACAGCCATAAGAACACGAGATTTTTGACAAGGAAATCTCTGTTCTCCAGGCATCAGTGGTACCCAGACGCCTAAAAGCCACCTTGAGGTCCCTCTGGGGAAAGGGTTTGTGGGATGGAGCGATGTTCAGCTCTTCCCCAAACTGCCCACAAAGCCCCAGCTGGACAGCTTGGCCTCTTGCAGCCCCACTGCACACTTTAAGCCCTGCTGAGAAGCATGGCCAGTAAACGTGTAGTGCCACTGACCTCAGGAATGTTCCTCTGGAAAGCCTGCAGGGACAGGACCATAGGAGCAGCCACTGCCCAGTTGTAGTACCTGGAAGAAGCAAGAGGGATGGGAACATTACCACTCCTGGAGCAAGGGCTCTTTCCAGACCACCATCCTGCAGCATGGCCAGAAGGTGCCCTCCCACAACCACAGCAGTATAATCACTGTCAGGGACGGAGTCACACTCTTACAGGAGTGTTTCTCTATGGACAAAGGGGCCACACTGGTCATCTTGCGATGAAGCAGCAGGAAGAGCAGGACACTCACTTCTTGTTGATCAGTATCACCAGGTTTGGGTCATCAATGAGTCCTGGATTCTCAGCAAACTGCTGGTAGGACACGATGTGCTCCATGAACTTCTCTGGTGGGACAGAGGCTGTGTCATGCGACTGGTGTATATAATGTATTCCAGGACAGCAGATTCCTCCTCCCCTCCCACCTACCGCAAGAGATCTGCCTGCTGCCCCCCAGGCCTCCGCACAGCGACAGGGCAATTGCAGGCATCGAATCAGAGTCAGAGCCCGTAGGTCTGTTGGCAGGCAAGTCAGACAGCAGCTGGACACACAGAGGGTTGCTTGGGTCTGCCACAGGCTTTGAACTCTGCTCTGTGTCACTACCAGCAAGAGAAGAACAGCAGCAACATCAAGCAATAGCTTTAGACATACCTCCATCCTTCACTGTAAGAGATTTGCTCAAGAAGGTCTGAGCTTGGTCAGATGGGGCAACCCATACCTCCTGGGGAAATAGAGCGCCACCTGCCCCTCATCCAGGTTGGAGATGTCTTCCAGGTAAACATCACTGGGACCCAAGTGAGGACTTCTTTTGGTGGATCCTCAATATACAGACAGAAGGGAGACAGATTAGCTGGATCACCTTTCCAACCATCTTGGCATCTATTGAGAAAGCTAACGGCATTTTCCTCTATCATATTTGTATGTCATGTAAGAGGGCATCTCTTTTTTCCTACTTGAAAAGTTGCCTTAAATCAACAGCAACAGAAGTACCTCAAGACACATGCACTGGCATGAGACCACTTGCCAAGAGGACACAAAGAACAGGCCAAAGTCCTGCCATGACAATCTGAAGGTGCCATCTGAAGTTAGCACCATGTGAGCTAACACTTTGTGGTGTCCTTCTTGGTACAATGAGGAATCCCAAGCATCTCTTCAGGGAGAGAATTTTGTTCTGAATTTATGGTAGCTGGAAGAGTAAGGTTGGTTAGGACAGGTAACATAAGAGTCCTTAAACACACTGTCAAGAGATATGCATGCATGCTTCACTGTGTGATCTTCCACCTAACTTGGTGTGCTTGGGGCAAAGACACAAGTCGGGCCAGGTCCTGCCATACACTTCAAGTTAATGTATGGCCTGCACTGCTGAGAAATATCCCAAGCACTGCTGAGAGATGTCCCAAGCACATAAAAGCAGAGACATCCAAGGATGGACTTCAGGAAACACAAGGCAAGAAAGCCTTCCTGGGGAGCTGGGTGGTCACTGAAAGGAGGAAACCTGAGGAATGTCTCTTCTAAGCAGAGGAGCTGCTAGCACATGGAGAGGTCAAAGCAAACATGTCACACCTTGAATACCCAGGGCAGTCATGAAGGAGTTACACTGAATGAACAACCCAGCCCCCCTTCCAAGTCAGATACATCTCTGGGCTCAAACCTCACTTCCAGCAGCACCAGTCACCCACTCACCTTGTCTCCTCTGGCTCTCCAGCTGTGACTCAGGACCCTCTGAGCCCACCTGCCTTGGGACATCAGCTCCCTCAAAGGGTTCCACATCTGGCACAACACTCCTGCCTCCCTCCTGTTTCTCTTGGGGGGCTGAGGAGGCCTCCAACAAGCTCTCTGCCCCAACAGCACTGGGGATGTCCTTCAGCCTGGGGAGGCCATTCCTAGCCCAGGGTGCGGGTGTTGGCTCAACAACAGACACAGCAGAGGAGTAAGGCGTGCCCTGAGGCCCTGCTGGGCTTGGACCTCCTCCCAGACCTTCGGAGGTGGCAACAAGATGGGTTGCCTCATCCACTGGGACCAGCGTCACAGAGACAGTGGTTGCTGCAGTAGCAATGGTCTTTGTTGACTTGGCTGGTTCAACTCGTTCCAATTTATTCACCTCAAGGAAAGCAGAACAATCAGTTTGAGGATGGGAAGTTGCCCAAACCATCAGGCAGAAAACAACAACTCCTCTGAGGCTGCCTGGCCACAGCCTCCTCCACTTTCTGCAGGCCTTTCAAACATCACCTTCCCACAAGCTGCTAGAGGAGAGCAAGAGCAGGGACTCACCTGAGGGAGCCTTCCCCAGGTCCACTGCATGTGGGATTCAGCCCCTAGAGCAAAACTCTCCTGTGGTCTGATCTCCAGCTCAGAGTCACTTTTGGGAGAAGATGGATGGCTCAGGGTGGGGCTACAAGAAGAGAAGGCAATATAGGACCTCATCTACTCTACAGCCCCGTGCTTTCATATCACTGCAAGGACATTTAGGGCCAAGAACCCTTTAAGGTTCATCTCCCATACAGTCAGTTCTGCCCTATAAGACTATCGCTTAGAAACGGGTAAGACCTATGGGTAGCTGAGGCCCAAGAAAGCAGAGTGCTATGCCACCAGTTGTCCAGCAGCAGAGCCCTGTGCAGGCAGGCTTCTTGCATCTGTGACTATGGCCAGAAGTGTCCTTCATGGGTTCTGAGCTTTCCTCCAGCCACACCACATCAGGCCAGGAAAAACCCCCTCTCCCAACACCCCCAAATCCCTTTTCCTTACCACCTTCCCAGCCACAAGGCACATCCCCTGCTCTCACCAAAGCCAAGCAGATCACCTTGGCTCTGCCCGTTACCTGTCCACAAAGGCCAGCTCCCCATCAGAGTAAGGGTGCACCTCTGGGGACTGCAATGACCCGGTTTCTTCTTCAGGGAGATCAGCAAAGGAGAAATACACTGAATCACTGCAAAGGAGGAAAGAGGTCAGTTATGCTACTCTTGGGCATCAGCCTCCTCACCTGGAAAAATGGCAATACCCAGCTTCACCATTTCCACTGGTTTTCTACTCCACAGGAGGCTGAGGTCCAACTTGAAACACTCTCCCCACATTTCAGTACTGCTGGGCATCACCAAGGCTTGACCCACCACCTCACCCTGCCCAGAACAAGCAGCTCACCTGGGGGCTGGCAGCTTACATGGCTCCTCATCGGACACCTCGCTTTTGGTGTCCTCGCAGCCTTCTAACTCCGAGTCCAACACCTCCTTCCACTTGGGCTTTCTCCTGCGTCGCCTCTTCTTGCGCAGGGTCGCTTCAGTGCTGGAGGCCTCCTGCCCATGAAAGGGCTGACCAGCACCCTCTGGGCTGTGCTGTGTGGGGATGGGGGATGTGCAGAGGCAGGACGGGATGCTGCCCTGCAACAGGGATGGGAAGAGGCCATCAGCTCCAGCACCCTCCTTTCCAGTCTGGCAGCTCATGGCTCTCATCTATGCAACATATACCACCAGCACAACCAACACCACTGAGCCCTCAACTTGGGGGTAGTTTTGTGGCTATGCCCAAAAAGTTTTGTCCGTACAACACGCGAATAAAAAAAGAAAAAAAAAAAAAGAAGCAGGAACTATCCAGCCACAAGCTGAAGACATCTTTAACACGGACAAGGAGAGGCAGGCAGGAGATGGCACCATGAGACAAGAATTACAAAGGCTGCAAAATGGGATTCAGCTCTAGAGCCCTCTCCCTGCTCTCAAACCCAGCCCAAGCTAGCAGGGACCACAAGTCAGCCTGGGAGAGAACTGCCAAGATTTTTGGAAGCCACAACTAGTCTCATCCTGCTTCCCAGTGGAGCAGGCAGCCTGCCACAGCATCTGGCTCAATCTCATCCGTGTCACAAGATTCCCCCAAGAGGCTAAGCTCTGAGATATCTGCCTGGCTGGCCAGCAGCCATGCCCACTGATGGAGGCCAGTCTGAGACGCAGATATTTCGTCTGATGCTCCGTCAGGGTGCTCCAATGCTCAAATCCTCCACACTGGTTGCAAGGTCCTTCAAGCAGGAACCTTTCGGGACACACAAAACATCAGAGGAGATAGTCGAGCACCCTGAAGAAAAGCAGTCCAAACCTGGTCCTTCCACCACAAGCCTGCACTTTCAGGTGGTCACAGGAGCACATAGACCAGCAGCACCTCTTCATCACCAACCTCACTCTCCTCTGACTCCTGGACGAAGAAGGCCTCTCCATTGTCACCCAGCTTCATGTGCAGGTCCACAGGCTCCCCATTGATTTCAATGTCAACCTGGCAAGGGGCAGAAGAAGCCTGTCCATCTGAACCCACTTGCCCATCAGCGTACAGGAGACACTTCCCCAGGAAGGTGACAGGTTGGAGTTCTCAGAGGGCTGATAGCCACCCAGCCTTTGAGGCAAGGGACCTCTCCCCATTCTCCTGGGAAATGCAGCCCTCTTTGGAAGAGTATGGGTTTCATTCAAGGGCATCCCCTCAAAAAAATTAGCATGCGCCCCTTTCAGCAGGGCTCCCATTCCCCTCTTCCATAACCTGTGGGATGCTGCCTGTGGGTTACGGAAGATCCTAGGTCTGGAGACACCAGAGAGGAAGCATAGTCCCAGTGAAGGCATCACTTACCACCTTCTCCTTGGAGCGCAGCACACCCAGCTTCCCAAAACGCACATGAAATGGGGAGCACTGGAAGGAGTTATCGGGCTGCCTCACCACGACCACATCGATGCAGCCTGTCAGGGTGGCAGGGTTCAGACCCCGGTACAGCTCCTTCACCGTGACAAAGACTGTCTCAGCAAGCTGCCCCACGTAGTTCATTGTTTGAGACTGCAAATGAGAGACAGGAATAGACTCAGGCTGGGGAAGAGGGCTCCAGCAGCTCAATGCAATGTGAGTTTACTCTAGGAGAGTCATTCCACAGCTGCAAACACAGCCCCACCACAGGGACAGGTGAGCCTCCAGGGAAACAGGGGCAAACACAGGAAGGGCCTTGATGAAGACCACCCAGGGCCTCTATGAGCACCAGAAAACAGGACAGAAGCCAGAGCACTAGTTATTACATCCAGCTTGGAGAAGAGAGACCTTTGCCATTGGGATGCACCACCACATTTGCCCCTTGGGAGGGCAAATGTTACCTCACAGCAACACCTTGCAGTCAAGCTGTCAACACCCTGTTTAAACAAGAATTTGGTTGACAGGAGACCTCCTGTCCTACACCATCTTAAAAAAAAACAACAAAACAAACTGAAAAACTCTGGACAGGGAGGTGGGAAGTCCAAGGAGCTGCTGCATGCACCACATGCTCACTTTGAACAGAATTGAAATCCAATGTTTTCCACTTGGTGGGGAAGGCATCACCAAATCAGCCAGACACGACCCTTATTAAAACCGTAACTCCCTGGTTTCCATGCCTTGGTCCCTGCTGCCATCATCTGTCTTCCCAGGGAATCCCAGCAAAGGGGCTATGCCGCTCAGAGGAGACCCAGACAGCTCTGCAGTGCTGTTTTCTCAAGGCACTGCTGCACTCTGAAGTTGCAGCAGTGGTTTTCATCAGCAAGAACATGGAAGAAAAGCCTTTCTTGCTTCCTGCTCATCCTCTCACCTGCTCACATCCTCCAGCTGCTTGCTCCCTGAACAGGGACAATTCCCCTCTGCTGTGCTGGAGCAGAGGCATGGCTGCAAAGGCAGAGATTCATATGGTCCATGCTGAGGCTTGTAGCACAGCTACAGCCACACGAGGTGGCCCACAGGCTCCAAAAGGCTCTTGTGCAACCCACACCCCCTTCCTACAGCCACGGCTGGCAGCTGCCTCCTGGTCAATGCATTGAAATCTCTGGAGTATTTTCTTGTGGATCTATATCGGGGTGCTGGGTATCAGTCCCAGCCCCGGGGCTAGGGGAGCCCCTCGCTCCATTTGCTCAGCACGCAGCATCAGCAGGACAGCAGCATCAGCAGGACAGCTGTCCTGGTGTCAGCACACCACACCAGAGGCTGGGAGTCACAGAGGCTGAGCCTAGCTTCCCCAGCTGCCAGCTCTGCACCTCACCTTGCCCCAAGGAGAGGATGAGGACACAGGATGACCACTTCAGAAGGACCATGGATGAATCAAAGGAAGCCGCTTGTGCCAGCAACATGATCAGCTGACAGCATGGTGTCCCCAGGGGCTCTCAGCACACACCCAACCCAAAGGGCGGCCGGTGAGAGTTGGTTCCTTACCCAAAGGGACGAGGACAAGCAGGTGCCACCCGACGAGCCCTCTGCCCCAGCAGGCACCCAGCCTCTCGGATCCATTTTGCACAAGCTCAGCCCCGTCCCGTTCCCAGACATCCCTCCTGGAAGGCGGTCTATGTGTGGAGATGCCGTCCCCGCTCCACGTCCCGTCTCCCCCACCAGGAACAAGCCCAAAGCCCAGATCCTCCCCGGGGGGTGGGGGATGGCAGGGAAGCACTAGCCAGCTCCCGAAGCTTCGGTGCCTCCATCAGCTCTGCTGCGAGCGGGGCCAAGGTCACGGGGCCACCTACCAACCTGCTGAGCCCAGCTTTCCCGGGCATTGCTGCCGGGACGGGCAGCCCTCCAGCTGCCTTCCCTGCTGCGCTGCAGGGCCTGGCAGCAAACAGGAGAGAGCTCCTCGCTGCAAAGGAGGGGATTTTCGGAGTGGAGGAATAATTGGGCTGGCCTCCACGCTCCCAGGGCAGCGCTGATGGACTCCTGGCTGGCACATACATTGCAACAGACCTGAAAAGCGCATAGGGAAAAATCCTGGGTAGATAAACCTGCACAGCCCGTTGGGTTTGGGGCGAGGGCTTGGAAGGAGTCCCTAGGAACAGCCCCATGCTGAGCAGCACCTTCACAGTAAGCACAGGGTGCAAGGGCTTAACACAGCAGGGCCAGGGCCATGTCCCCTCTGCAGAGCCAGCGTTCCCCCCCCCCCACCGGGACCTCAGGCCCCGTTGCCTCCATGGGCGTCTACCCCCTCCCCAGGCGTTGCTGGGGATGGCTCAGCCCCAGAACTGGGAAAAGGAGGGCTCTGGTACAGTTCTCGGCTCTGGGAGTTTAACTCCCTGCGGGCTTCACCCAGGACAACTGGGGACAGGCAGGGAAGAGAGGGGAGAGGCCTAGACTTCTCCCCACAGCCCTGCCATGGATGGAGCGGGCCCATAAGGGATGAAGGACAAGTTACACTCTGGAGAGACAAACAGGTGGACAGGGCAGGAGAAAAGGTTTTCAAGGCACCCCAAGGACACATTCAACAAATAAACAGAGGGTGGGGGCATCCCCACCCCTCAGCCCCACAGGCAGCAGGATCACTGCCCTTCACCACACAGCTCTGGCAGAGGGCAAGGGGGACAAACCCTCCCCAGTGGAGGCGACACAGCTCACAGCCACCTCTCCAGCTGAAAACCCTCCCAAAATAAGCCAGATCTTCTGCCGACACCAGCCTGCTCCGCTCCTGGGTGGCAGCAAGCTGGGCCACCCCACAAGCAGCGCACCCTTCCCACCCCCCACGGCCACGCTCCCCACCCACCGCACGCTGCAAACTGCCCAGGACCTTCCCCGTTACCTGGGCAGCTGCTGCACCTCAGCACCTCCTCAACATCGGGGCAACCAGCCCAGCAACCCCAGGAGCTGCTCTCTGCCAGCAGCTGTGCTCACACCTCAGCTCCTCCTCTCCCAACAGCTTCCTTCCCCTCTGCTGAGCAAGGGGAGGGCCCTGGCTCCCAAACAGCACCCAGGCCCCACACCGTGCCTCCCGCTGGGCCTATGAGGGCTCCTGGGAGGCTGGAGGGTGGATCTGGGGAGGTGGCTGACACCTGGAGGGAGCAGCTGTGGCTCATTGCAACTGCCTGGTTTGCTCCAGCAGCTCCGGGTAGAGCTGCCAGCTGCCGGGCAGTGATGGAGATCCTTCCTCCCTCCTTCTCCAACCCACCATCCTGCAATGCCGCTGCAGCCCAACCCACAAGGCTGGAATTTCCAAAGACAGTCCTTTCATTTTCCAGACCAGATCTCCCAGTGTTTAACCCCCCAGGGCACAAACCATACAAAGCCCCAGCTCTCAGGACCCCAGGGTAGGCTGAGTCCTCTGGAAAAGGTGCTCGCAGAGGCTGTGTGCGCAGCTCTGGGAAAGATCCGCCCTTTAAAATCTGCCCTGCAATGGCTGGAGAGCATCCTCATGCAGCCATGGCCAGGTTGAGGACAGTCCAGAGTGGGAAGTATCTTTCTAGGGAGCCTGTGCCAGATGCTAATTTCTTCTTCTCCCATAGGTCTATAGCGATTGCTATAGGGTCATATGGACTAGGACCACAAAGGGTAGGTAGGGTGATAGTTAATTGCTATGTTGATTACTTAATCACTCCTGGATGTAAGATTGGGTATACCTTGGCCAGGTTCACACTGGAAGGAATGTGGAAGTTGCTGGTGTCTGGTGCTTGTAGGGAAGAACAAGGCTTCACCAGAACACAAGGTTTTGGGGGATTTTGAGGGACAATTTTAGCTGCCCCTCAACTGCTGCAAACTTTGGAAGACTGAATTTGGGTGAGTTTATTTCATTGTGCAGCCTGGGACGGGGACTAGAGTGGGACACCAGGATCTCTTCTCAAGCCAGCCTGTGCTTCTGGGCAAGCGGGGGAAGGCAGTGTTTCCTACTGGGGCAGTGCCGGCTGGGGCACAGCTAATGTTACCCACCCTCCTGCAAAATCCTCCGAGGCTGCTGCAGTGCCATGCTGTACGCTGCAGGGAGCCTGGCCTGCCTGCTGCACCCACCCTTGGCACCCCTGGGTGCAGCCCTGGGGACTCCGTAGGCCTGTCTCCGCAGGGTGTTGTCTTTCCCTCCCCTTCTACCAGCCTCCAGCTGTCCCCCTGCACTGCAAAGTCTCCCCTGCGCTCTGGCAACCCCTGCCTGTGGCTCCATATCACCTCTCCACCTCCATCATTGTGGCTTTCTGCCTTTTCAGTTGGTTTTTTGCCTTTTTTCCCCTCCCTGGCCTTAGCAAATCTTTGGGACACAAAGCAGCACCAAGCATCGTTTTACAGAGGCACCACCAAAGCCCAGCGAAGTCTTAACAAGATATAAAAGGAGGGAGTGGGTGGCCAAGCCCCACAGGCTCCTCTGCCCTGCTTTATCCCCAATAGGATGAGAAAAGAGAGCACAAGTTGAAAGAAAAGCATAAAAAAGCAGAGAAAACTGAGGCTCTCCAGATCTCAATGGGCCTGACAGCAGTGGGGAATTGATGCAGGAATATCCAGGTGGACTCAGATGAGAAAGTGAGGCAGTGGGGTTTTCTTGTGCCCCTCAAAAGCGCATTGGCTCCCGCTGGACTATGATTCCCCAAGGGCAGGGTTGCAGCTGGTGTGGGCTGTGCCCCATGACTGTCCGACCTGCTGTGCAGGTGATTCCCCAGCACCCTCTGTGCTGAGATTTTGAGTGATGTGGATGGAGCGGCGGCAGCTCCTGGTCTGCACAAGTGGTGCTGGCACTTTGGGGACGAAGGCTCTTCTGCTGGTGTGCGTGCAGGGCTCATCTACCCGTTACTCGTGGAGCTGACGTTGTTCCATGAGAGCAGGGAAGCGCCAAAGCTGGAGAGTGGCTGCTTTGCACCTCTTTAGTCCCTGAGGAGAAGGTTCCAAAACACCCAGGTTGGTCACAGCTCATTCCCAGGCAAGACCTGTTACTGCCCTGTGCCTCAGTTTCCTCAGGTGTGCCATACTGGTCAGGTTGATAGCAGGGGGAAGCACGGAGATCCCCCCTGTGCCTGTACAGCGCCGAGCACAGCCTGGACATGAGGTCCCAGACCCAATACGGGAACTCTTAAAGGCTGTGA